ATACTTTTTACCTTATTCCGAAGCACTTCCGATTTTTTATTTTTATATCGACTTCTGTTTTGTTTTCATCTGAAATAAATATATAGTGAAAAAAAATTATTATTTCTACATCAGGAGTTCTAATATTGAATACTAGACTAGAAGTTAATAACTCTGCCTTGGCAAATTTTGTCTTTGTATTTCAAATTTCAGAAATCTTTGACATGAAATCACATGAGACAATGCACGAATGTGCGTGTCATAGGCATATTGTGTTAAACGCGACCTAAAAGGAGTGCTGAAGTATACAGAGAGAAATCCGAACCTTTCTCTCTTGGTCCACAGATACGTTAGAAACGGCCTATCACAGACCATATATGAATAACGTTTTGGTATGATATATAAGTTACTTCTTTATTGCATTTCTTGAGGATCACGTAAAAGAATAATGAAGAAAAATATTCTAAAATAGTGTCCTTGTGATTAGCAACAACTGCAACATAATCTTTAACGTATAATTCCATGAAGTGTGCGTCTACAACTATTGATATTATTGTGGCATTACAATGAAGGTTTTAAATATTACACAAGTTTAAAACATTCAGTTTTTCTACTCAACAAATAATTTTTGTCATTATCTATATTCTTTCGAAGCGATCGGAACATTTTTGTTTTAGTGAGAGAAATATAATCCAGTGTTCTAAATGATTACTTGTTCTTTTCCTTTTTTTGACAATAAACATGTTGACAAAGATTCATTCGTAAACTATCGCGTTTTATTTATTTTTCAATGTCGTATATTTTTTTCAGCATTAAAAAGTCATCAACAGCTTAAAAATACGAAAGAAAAAACGAGTTGTTCACAATGAATAACTCTTTTTCTTGTCTACTTCCTCTGTTTTTACATATTGATTTTATAAACAGAGAAAAGAAAAATAACAATAAAGTAACCAATGTTTTCTGATACATTCTCATATGAAATTTGCTTGGAGCAATAAAAAAAATCATGATTTTTTCGTGCCTTTCGTTTGAGAAGTGATAGAAACTCGGTTGAAACTGCTGAGAGATTCAGATAAACAGGTCTTCAACCAATGTAAGGGTGGTTCCTGTCATAGCAACTAGTGTCAATGTAGAAAAAAGCAATCTCTCGATTTTTTATAATACTCATATGAAAACATGTGGGCCACTTTAGTTTTTTTTTATTTCAAACGCATGTCTTGATATTCAAATAAATATCAGAAGAAAGAACAAACAATGAATAGGATGGCTGCTTGAGCAAAGGTGGATTAGAAAAATCGGCTGACTACACTAGCCCAAAAAATGTCAGAACAGGATCCTATGTAATATCTGCTATTTCTAAATGTTAGAGTTTCATAGAGGAAATCATAATAAATTTCAGTTGCATTCAGCTATCATGGCTCAACTATCAAGTTGAGAGATGACGAATCTGAACGAATTACTGCCATATAATGAAACCATTGTATAGAGCGTCTGAAATGTCAATGGGTGAGCCGTGACTAATCCATCAAGAAGAAGAAGAAGAATTAGTCGTAACAGCAAACAAAGTGAAAGGTAATAAATTGGCTAATGCACTTTGCACAGTTAGCCACTTTTCAGTCAACAGAACAAACAGAGTTTTACGAGACACATGGGATCGAGAACATGAAACAAGTTTGTCTCTCAGGGCTTTATTTGATAATTCAAGGATTATCTATCTTCTGACTGCTGCCATTCTATCGTGGCATAGCAATTATTGTTATCTGACCGGCAACCTATGGTGGCTATACCGGTGATAGTGTAAACCCACACTCGACATGAGAAAGCTAACATTAGTAAAGAATAGGATTACAACTGTTTTAATTGTTATTCGTAAAAATAAAGGTGCCACTACAATTTAGATTTCTTCACTTTTTATTTAGATTAATTTCAAAATCAAATCAGAGTACAATATAGAGTTTATTCAGATTTGTTGTTATACCAAATACTGCATATGGGTCTTCTATTTATCGAACAATTAATGAGAACATCTGAAAATACTTGCAAATAATATAAACCAAAGCAAAGCAATAAGAGTAGCATTTATTTTTTCTTTGCAGATATCAATGCCAGTCATTGGTCAATTTGTAAGACCCGATCTGAGTCGCACTGTGCTTTATACCTACTGAATGCTTACAGAAGAATCGTCACACTGCTAAAATAAATGCATACATCACATCACTAGTCAAACAATCAATCTCAAGCGCAAAAACCTTTAAAGATAAAATGTGGAAAGAGAACTTGTTAGTTATTCATGCAAAGCTTGAAAAATACTGATTCGTATAACTTTATTCTCTTGTCTTAGATCATCAGATATAAGTCAGAATCAGAGTTGGTACTAGATCGATATTTTCGAAAACAGGGAAGTATTCAGTGGCATCTTCTGGAGGAAATTTTGCATTTTCATTCTCAGAAGAGCTCTTTACTTTCTTCTAAAAATGGAACTATGGTGGCACTTTTGCAACATGAGAATTTTTTTTCGAATGACTGGATTGATTTGTACAAAATCTAGCTCATTTTTCATTTTGTTTCAGCTATTTTATTCCGCAAAGATTTCACATGACTAAAAATATATTCAAAAACGGTGTTTGAAGCCGGTATAGAAAAAGCAAAATGGAACTAATATTGATAAACAAGTTATATTGCCACTGTCAAGAATATAAGCCCACGGCTGGTTGCAGTTGGTTAACAGATATTTCTTCTGTTCTTTTGTGAAATCTAACACCACGATGTGAAGTTAGATAGTTTTTCTTGTTGGTTAAACATGTCGCTAAGAGTTCAGATGAAGAAAAACTAAATAACAGTAGAAACCAGTAGAAAAATCTTGGAAAACAGCGTCTAGTACCAGGAAATTTTTTCACTAGGAGAAAGGCTAAAAAATCAGGAGATTTGGTAACCCTGGTCCCTCCTCTCAAAATGTAAGGTTTTGAACGTTGAGTACATCCTAATTGACGAAAGAGTTGGATTGTATTTGAATTTGAATCATTTAGAATACATTGTTACGCAACCATTCACCTTCATATAGAATTAGTGATTTTACTGATTGAATAACTACTCTTTTGAGAAACAAATGACTTATAGAAAGAAAATTTGTATATTTATGTATGTTTTAGTGCGACCAAACAAGATTTCGAAGCCTTGTTATAAACTTAAGTTCTTGCATTAACGTTCCTTTATTGATTCCTTAATCGTCACCAATTAGTCTTAAATCATGATTTGTAGATAAGTTTGTTGGAAACAGAGCTTTTTTATAATCTCGATCTTGAGGAATATTACGTCTTTCTCTTGATCACAATTTATAGAGATTTCAATATAAAATGACAATATTCACGCGCATGGCAAATAGAAATGAATGACAAGGACTATATGATTTTCATTAAATTCCATTCGAATGTATTATATATATGTTCGAAAGATACGTTCAAAAGTTTGGATCAATTCAACTGGTCTCAATAAAATAAGTTTTGGTTGTCTTTGTTGTCGAGATTAAAAAATCAACGGATATAAAAAACGATGAATAGCCATTAGCCAAAGTTTAATAATCAATAGATAGCGGATAATGATACAAACCACAAACCACTTTTGATTTTATTGACACAGATAAGAGAGCGTTATATTAAGAATACACAAACTATTGAAATCACGCATGTTTATACAAAATGTCCTGAAATCAGTGACGCAGCCAGAGGGGGAATTGCGGGGATTCACCCGCCCCCCCCCGCTCCATGAAAAATTTTCGCTATCAATTTGTAAGGTCACTGGTTTATAAACATCAGCAAAGCACTCTCTCAATATATTTGTGTTTGAACTAATATATGTACTTATCAATTAGTGTAAAATGTTTCTTTATGCCGACTCATCAATGGTAATGATTATGGATAGGAACTTTGCAAATAATGAGGCAAAATTTGAAGAATACTAGTGGGCGCAATCGAATAGGTGATGAACCACTAATCGATTTAGCTGTTATCAATATCAACAGCTACTGAAACTTATTTTTTCTGGATTTATTGGGACTTTTCAATAAGCCCATAAGTTTTTGGAGATAAATCCCTATAATAAGTAAATAAATCCCGTAGAAAAAAAATAAGTCTCAGTAGCCCTCTATCAATATTAATGAAAAAAAGTCGCTCAGGAATTAAATATTGAATATTATATTGATAAATTTGCCAAGTCCAAAAGTAAAATAAATTTTACGAATGGATCAAATTAATTGTCTTGCTTTTTATGTATTTTCTTCTTGTACAAAGCATTTCCATGTTATACCATGCATCACGTTGGGTTCTGATTTTCTAATTTTTTTTCAAATCATTCTGATTCATTCTAGGCTTGGCAAATAATTCTGATTTTTTTGAATTTTGGATACTTTTGCATATGAGTGCGAAAATTTGAAAAAAGCAGAACTATTAACCATAGCTAGAGTGAATCAAAGCAATTTTTATAAAAAACCTGAAATCAGAACCCGTTACGATGTATTATATATATGTAAAGATGAGCAATAATAAATTGTCAAGCATTCACCATGATAAAAAAAAACTCGTGTTTAAAATTACAAAAAAAAGCATTTGATCCACCCCTTTCCAAAAATCCTGCCTGTGTGCCTGCCTGCAATTATAATCAAATAATTTTTCGACCATAGAATATTTCATGAATAGGTTTTATTAACAATTGCATTTATCAGAAAAAAGTTGATTCAATATTATTTCTTTTTTATAGAAAGAAAAGATAGTTTGTTATTTTAATATCATTCTTATCAAAGATAAACGAGTTTTTTTTTCAAATAGTTACCTAATTTCATCACTATCTTAAACACGAATAATCTTAATGGGTAAAAACCCAAAAAAAGAAAATTAGCTGTGAAAGACAAAAAAGCGAATACAAGAAAACAATTTCATATTCTACTTTTTGTATTACCAGATTACTTTATCTATCTTTAGGAAAAATAAAGAGACAAATCATTTGTAAAGGGTTTTTAATTAAAACTTATGGGTCGAACTAAGCACCACAGTGCTAATGCTTGTCGACATGCTTATCTTGTCAATCCAACATTATCATTAACACCTTCTGATTGGTCTCAAATTCGATTTACTCAACGTATGATACATCCAACATTTTCTAATCGAAAGGAACTCAGTGTTTTCGATATGTGTTTTGCTGTTCGGTATCAATTTATGGACGTATCGGATATTCCTGCCATTCGTGTATTTAAAGATAACAATGGGACATTATGGAGTGTAGATAATCGGCTTTTATGAGTAATGAAAAAAGCTCGACGCGGATTTAATTGTGAACATGTATATACACGTGAACAAGATTCAAAACGTTTTCAAGAACTAGAATATAAAATTCAAAGTTTACATGGAACAAAAGGTGAATATGTTTGGGTTCGATCTCAAGAACTTTCAGATCTCATTTATTTGTGTTGTATTAATGCATCTAAACGTCGTGAGCTTGATAATCATATTGCAAATGATCATTTGAATATCAATCTTGAACAACTCACATTACTAACACGTTGTCCTATTCACTACAAGTATCAAAAATCATGTACCTGTTTTACAAGCTGCACTATGTTGGAACATTAAAAGATATAGTTCGTTATCGATGTCAAACAATAAAACAGGTTATGGTCAATGCTCAAATTGAACCAAGCAAAGAACAGATACGATTATTCGAGAAGTTTGAAAATACAACGACGAATGCTAATTCGAATTTATTACTATCAATTGAACAAGATGCAATTATTAATTCACCGACACTTATTTCTTAAATACTGTTATGTTTTTTATTATACATTTTTAAATATATAATTAAGAATGACTATCTCTTTACAACATTTTTTTTTGAACTTAATCAGTGTTGTCAAAGCTTTTATGTCAACCGTTTGTATTTGAATAAATTTAAGGATTATATCGAGTGAAACATTGATAAACTACTATAGGATTAATCTACGACTAATAAATTTTTGTTTCATCGAAATAAGTCAATGTCGCAAAAATACAAGATTATGTATTCGAAAACAATAGAAAAACAAATATTTTTACAATAGCTAATGTTTCCTATCGAAATACATATAATCTTCCAGAATCAATAATAAGATTGATATTGTCAATCTTTATAAGTTTTTTTTTCGTTGATATTCATTCAAAATGACAACGGTCATAAAAGTATTCTTAAAATGAATCTGTTGTTTGTTTATATGTAATGCACAATAAAGTCAATGTTTATTTTTATTTTTGTATTCCTTAATATATGTCTCGTGTTCTTGATACTTACTAAATGATTAATACCTAACATTGGCATATTTGAGTAAATTCTTTATATTTATACATTTCCTGTAATAATCACACTATCTCTTGTACAAAGATACTTCCCAACACAATAAAGAAAAGCAAAAATAAAAGACAAAAATATTCATTGTTATTGCATGTTATAAACCATACTTAAACCGTGAATAAGTGGTGTTCGGATCAATAGTACAAATGTCATATTTATTTGAATTATCCAAATTGATAATGTGAACAAAAAATAAGCAGTGATTTACACTATTAGCATTCGAGATAGTCGTTCTTCAGTACAATGACGCCGCACAAATAGAAACACAGATGTCCGAGTTCTATGGAACAGTCCTGCACTCTATCACATCTTCGTGTAATATGGCACAAGTCTGGATGGAATGCGTAAATGTGAACACTGGCATGAAGCCGTTCCGTCATGCTCTGATCAGTATAACGTGAACTAGTTGCCGATGAATCTTAAGCACTTTTGAAAAAGTTCAATAAAGCAAATCAGTAAGTCTTATAACGTAGTAGACAACTACTCGATTTAACATATTGACTATATAGTAATCTCAATTTAAAATTATTTCGTGGAACTCACATACATATTTGAAGAAAATGGTGAGTGGAAATTTCCTGGCTACTCCTACCTATCTTATTTTGGGCCTGAGAAAACGAACGGAGGGAGGAGAGTTCAGTGGTCAATTAGCATTTTTCTCCTAGCAATCGAGGACAACATGCACCAGAATCCTTTTTCATACCTCGAAATTTGAATGGCTGTAATACGTTTACGAATGTTCCCAATAGTACAGTATCTGATTTTAGCACAGATAAACAATTGTATTCAAGACGTAAAGAACGATAGGTAGTGTTGTATTGATGTGCCAGAATCATCATATGACCAATATAAAAAGTATGAACTAATCAAGCTATAAAATTTTGAAAAGTATCAACATCAATGTTTCTGAGCTTATCAAGATGCATAATAATACGTTGAGATCCTTTGTGCATATAATGGATGTGTACAAAAAAATTATTTGTCAGTTTAATCAATGTTTAGAATAATAATAATGTTAAATTAAAGAAAAAGAAACACAAAAAAGGCTACTAACAACTGAATAGCAACAAAGCAAGGAAAGAAAAAAGAAAAAGAATTATTCGAAATGTAAAAATAAATAAGACAGATCGTTTCTCTGGCGATCGTTTATTCTTGGAAAACGATTATAGTCTTTTAGAGATTTTTCAATGTACATATTTTGTATTAGTATAGTTAGGCTTAAAGATACATTTGAGTTCTACATTTGAGTCCCATATAAATGGTTCTGACAAGCATTACTGATTAAAATTGGATGATAGTAGACAATATCGATAGTTAAATTAAAAACTTATGAAAGAATACGTCAATCATCTATAAATTACGCAAATATTTGTTTCAAATTTAATAAAAAGAGGATAATTTACAAACAATCCGATTTGAATCTGTCATTTCTTAAATAAAGATAAAAAAGACCTATCTGACTTTGATGAATGTAAAGCAATACTCAATGAATAATAGGAGAAAAAAATCGAATTAGAATAATTTTCTTTTTATTAATTGATCAAAAACATCCTTAAAGTTTATTAGTCTTCAATTGAAGTCATGCTAAACTGTACAATGAATAACGAAAATATCCATATCGAGGTAAATAAAGTGACACTACAAGAAATTTTACCCAAAGCAATCGACCTATATTTTGTTTTTCTTTTAAATAATGGTTTTTTCAGAGATAATTCATTTACACGATACTTCCTATTATATACTTTTTTGGTTTCATTCAATTTATCCTTTCGGATCGGAACATGCAAGTAAACATTTCTCGTTCAGAAACAGTGCAGACTTATTGATGCAAACTATTTATCATTGAGTCAACTGGCATTGATCTATAATATGGTATGAGCAAAATATATATGCGCTGTACCACTTTTTGCAAGATCAATAGTGGCGATTAGATATGAAAATTAATTCATTTCAACGGATTTTCGTGTTTCATTGCTTTACCTTGCAAAAAAAAGAATTCTGTTTGGAAAAGGTTAAAAGAAGAAGAATATTTTCATAAGGCAATAAATACCAAAAAAAAATACATTAACGTCTTATTTTCTTCTTATCATTATAAAATTTCTTAATCGTAAAAAAACCAAGCAAATATTTAGTCTCTATTTCTATCAACATTAGTGTTTGCGTGTCGTTCTGACATCTTGTAGAGAACTGAATAATAATGAGAAGAATAAAGAAAATGTCGATGTATTTTTTGTGATTTTCTGTCGAAGTCTTAGTTATTAAAGGAAAAGAAATCGTTTCAGAAAAAACTTGCGCAATTGGTTTTTTGTTTTCAACTATCGTTGACCATGTGTTAAAGTTCCTTGTTAGATGATTTATGAAAAGAAAGATATTGAAAATTTGCAAATAAGAATTAAATTTGAAAATATATTAAATTATATTTGTTACATGTTTCTTATCGACATATTAATTATTTTTAAATATCGATCGGATTAAATTTCTTAAAGTAGTTCGAAATATGCTTCCACCACTTAATGTATATATATAAAATGGCATTCCACTAGCAAGATAAGTCAGAAGAAGAGCAAAATTATAAATAAATTTGTCAATAGTCATATGTAACATTGATTTTCTTGTATTCACTGTCAATGTTGTATAGATTTTTTCAATAACTTGTGGAAGTGTAAAAATAGTTAGAAGAATTATTTGTATAAAAAGTACGTGACGTAAATAACGATCGATTCTTTTCCATCGTTCTCGTTGTCCATTTGTTAAGATTAATGTTTTTTTATTTTCATTATCTGTCTCTCTGATTTTTCTTTTAAATAAAATAACATAATAAGTTTGACGTATATTTGATATTGTCATTACACCAAATATGCACATAATTGATAAAGGAAATAATACAGTTATTAAGGCATAAGTTACATCTGTCAATAATCGACACGCTACAGTTTTACCATAACAATGAAGTGGTGTTGAAATTAAATCTGCTTCATAGCAATAAATAACTTGACCATAAAGAAGAATACATAAAATAATTATAATTATTGTTCCTCGTTGAGCATTTTTTAATGAACTCATTTTTCGTCGTTGATATTGACTACATGATAAAAACCAACGATCAATTGTAGCATATGCAATAAGCCAAAAAGCTATTGTACGTGAAACAAACATAATAAAAGCACGAATTTTACAAAAAAAACTATTTGTATCTGTTAAATCCATATCCCAACCAGCTAAAATTCTTGTTGTTAAACCAAATGTAATAGAAATAATATTTGCGATAGATGATATTAAGAAAAGATAAGCACATGGATTAATACGAAGTGTTGGTTGAGATAAAACAAAACAATTAAGTATATTACCAACTGTACCAAAAATAAAAATAAAAATCGAAAAATAACGATTAAATTGTATTGAAACATTCTTCAATATATCTGCTGAATATAAATCAGAAGATGCGGACATTGTTATAATTTAATAATAATATTGTTCGGAAAGTATAAACACCATAAATAATCTTCTTTATTTTTTTAGAGCTTCTCATTCATGATATTCTAAAGAAAAAAAAAGGCACACAACTTGACATTAGTTCTTATGGGTCGACGAAAGAAAATAAAACGCATAATGATAATAAATAAGATGTATTTTATGACAGACAAACCGAGATAGATGATAAAAGCTTATAAAACTTTTTATTTTTTTTTATACTTTTCTTGAACATGAAATAAAATAGAAAATATTAAAATGACACAGTACAAAAGAAAACTACATTATTAATAAATAAGATTACACTAATACAGAAAAAAATATGAGAATAAGGAAAAAACACACGTTTCTGAGCACTTTCTAGTATAGATTATCCTGCCAGTTGTAGGCAAGAAAAAGGAAACCTTAAGAAAAGTATTATAAGTTTTAATAATTAATGATAAATTTCATTCAATAATAGCACAATCTTTTTTTCTTCATATATGATTAATTAGAAAATATTCTAATGCAATCCTTTTTAAATATATTATAAAAATAACTTTTTTTAAAGGAAATATAGTACAATGAAAAGAAACTAATAATTCAGAGTTTCTTTTATTAATAGAAATGAATATGGATATGCTGCTAAAAATAATTCTATTAGTATAGATTTAAACTCATATTATTAAAAAAAGTCTTTTAATAAGAAAAAATTGATGAAAAAAAATTCTTATCAACGAGGGTCATATTTTTATGCAATTGTATCGTTCTAGAACTTTATTTACATACAAAAACAAACGTTATGAAGTAAAAAGAAGTACTGAAACTATACTTCATTAATTACTTTTAATAAATTTTCTAACGATAACCGGTAGTCCAATTACATTGACAAGAAAGTCTATTAAAAATATGTGTTTCTTGTTTCATCATTCATTATGATCTACATCAAACACTAGAGATCATGATAACTTTTCAGAAGAATTCTTTTCTTACATCAAATATGATCAATAATTAGAAATTTCTGAAGATCACTGGAATAGATCACATAAATATGAATTACTTTATGATCATAGAACAAAAGCTGCAAGTTGTGGACTGAATAAATTGTATGAAGAATGTTTTTATAGAATTGAGATTTAAATAGATCTTTCACATACTTCATGACACTCAATTATTTCTTTCTAAATTTGACTTTTATTTTTCATCTTTCAAGCATAAATAACTCACGCTTATTAAAGCTTTATTTTAAAAGCACGGATGGTAGCATATGTCAGGATTCTAGCGAAAAAAATTATTCAAACAGAGACACCACCTATGTAGTTTATCAGAACGATGCGATGCGTGCAAATTCTATAAATGTTGAAAGCTCATCTATCATGTGTTAGATTCATCATTAACTATCTCTTATATGAATCGCTTCAACTGTTCAAACAAATTTCACGTTCTTAGTTTAGATTAAGTTTTAAATGACAACAGTACCAATCACACAGAAATCGAAAACTCAACAGCGATTGAAAAGAAATTTGAGAAAATTCAAGGCATTCTACCATGAGAGCGTTTAAAGCACTGTCACACATAACCTCATTGAAGGAATTACAAAGACTGGCATATATAATCCCAGAGGTACTATTCCAAATATTAAATCGCGCTTGATATTCTTGAAATCTTAATATTTGGACGATGAGTATATCTAAAAAATTATTGATTTGTACTGGAATATGATTTAATGTTTCAAATTTGTACTCGGAAACTTTGACATTGAAGAAAATCAATATATCATTAAACTATAATAGAGGCAATAGACTTACACGTAAGTGAATTTTTTCTTCATTAATTTCGTTTATACTATCATATTAGCTATTATGTAACTTACAATGATGATTTCGTACTAAGTTATGCTTCACGTCCATTTTATACATAATCATGATAATAGTTTTTCATTTTCTTTTAGCACTAGATTGAAATAGATAGTTTTTTTTCAATTAAGAATATTATTCTCATAATAACAACACAAATGACTTTCTTAACAAGAAACAGCTTAGTTAATTGTTAATCCGCTTTTCCTGGTCATTATCTTCTTTTAAAAAAAAACAACTATTCTTAGAAATGTTGAGAAACAGCATGTCTGTCTCTTTCTTTCGATCTAAACTATACTAAAACTAAGCTCGTTTGTTTTTTACTAATGAATTTCTCTGAAATAGAATTAATCATCTAATCTACTAAAATAGTAAAAGCAGTTTCGAAATAATATTCATTTTAGTATCTATTATATTGATTAATCAAATGAAATTATTAAACAATTGAAAAGCTATTCCATTCTTTTATTTTCTTCATAAATATGAGGCTAATTTTTAAAAAGTAACTTACTGTATTTAATACAGATTCTTTGATTACAAATGTTCTGCTTTGATGTGTTTTATGGCTACATAACTATGACTCGTGCAAATGCCCACTGATTCACTCTATCATGTTGATTTTTATCTGGGAAAATTAATGTGTTTAGTATTTCTAAAGTAATATATGGTGATCTAAGGAAATTAATAAAGTATTATGACAAAAAAAGAAAAAGGAAAAAAACAACTTATAAATAGTACTTAGTGGAATAATTACAAAGGATCAATCATTTTTACGATTTGTTTTGTTTACGTGTTCTCTTTGTTAATTATAATACAAAAATGTTAATGGATGAGAAAGAAAAGGAACATGAAAAAACATAAAAGAGAGATGCTCTGTATGCTCTTACTTTGAAAATTATCGATATATACTTCAAGAAAAACTAAATCATTGATATTTTTATCTAGTTGCATTACTTATGTGAAATAGATTCACACCATCACGAACGATATGCATGCGAATATGTGACCACAATAGATCATTGGTTTAGTCTCGGACGCAACCGAATTCGGATCCAGATTTGAAAATTATCTAGTGATCGAGTTTGGCACCAAACTAACGTGTTGTATCGTAAGATCCATGTGATTAAAGTCGCGTCACTTTTGGCCTTTAATCGGCGACTCTTCGGTTATTCTAATAACTTACGGTTAATTCATAATTTTTAAATATATTTCAAGAGTAACTTTTTTTTTATAAAAATAATTTTGTTTTCGTTTATTTGAACAATCTGATCATCACAATGAACAGCGAGTTTTTATTTAAAATAGTTTTTATTTTCTTCCTTTTATTTAGGTCAATCGAAACAACAAAATGAACAATGAGCATTATTTTATGAAGAAAAAATTTTTTTGTATTATTCATGCCTGATACGAAGAAAAAACTCGTCTCACTCCTCATTCACGAGAAACGTGTATTAAAACAATGGAGAACGGCAGTCATAGTCCTAGGTTTACATACTACAACCAAGTTTGATCGTCGGAAATATTATTTAAATAATCAAGATTTTCTATAAAAATTCGAGAGAACATCAGTAAAAAGAGCGGTTTTAAGCGATCAATCTGCGAAAACAATGTTACAATTAATCGATCTAATAAATCTCGATAAAATCGCTGATTTTTGCGTGATTTTGCCTACATGGAGAATATGAGCCAATTTATAAGTTGATTATTATAAGATTATCGTTAAGATTGCCTGAAAAATATTTAGGGTCTGTGCTAGTATTTGAATCGATATAATCGCAAAAAGAACATCTCGTATCTTCCAAGCAATTGATAGATATGATTTAGAAAATTTCATTAAGAGTATGGTTCTGTTATTGATCTGAAACAACCTTCAATAAACTGGATTTAATTTAGAATCTCGTTCGAATATTTTTCACTAGACGAACTCTTGTGACTATTCCTCCTCCAATCATTAAAAAATGTTGAAGTCTTTTGACAGTAGCAACCATTTTCAATACCATTCAAATAGTTAATATTATGAATTGTTTTTGTTAAAAATTTGTAATATAATCTAAATCTCATCGTTCTTTGTGCTATTTATAACGAGTAACATGTCAATCTCTCCTACTTTTCCATAATAATTATGTTTCCAAAGACGGAAGCAATATAAAATGATTTTTTATCAAACTATGAACGGTTATTATTTCTGGAAAGTGCAGTATGAATGTTTCCTGTGAGTATGTAGATGTAGTGTGGGTTGTGTTGGTGTGTGCTCGATTAGAGGTCAGGATCTGAATGTCTTCTCTTCATCCTTACATCCTCGCATACTCGACACCTTACCACATAAAAGATAACTACTCGAATGACAAAAAAGATATATCTGGATCATGGGGGTATGGATTTGAATGTGAGAGATGAGAACATCAACATCCTCATCCACAAAGAATTATGACGAGTAACTTTCTATGTCGGTTTAAATAAACTCTATTTGCATCACACATTCTCGGCAGTGTCCGAAAGTGTACATATGCAATATGAAATGATCAATATTCATAGTGTAAAACTGCTAGAAATATCAAGATTTTCAAAACTACACGTATTTATAGTGTTCGTGAAACTTCAAGTAGTGATTGAATGCATATGAGTGTTGAAACCTGGCCATACTAATAATTTTATGCAACATACACGCAAAATGACTTTTCTTATATTTACGCATTCAGTCTGTTTTTAGAATCTGCTAATTTGATTAATAATTCTATAGGTTAAAATCTGATTACAATTTACGAATACCTTGGTTATAGTTGCTTTCTTTTCAAATTTGAGCCATTGTGACTCATTCGAATAAATAACTCTTCTTCCTCGATTGTCTTCGCATCCGAACAAGACTGAAAATAATCTCTTTTTTTCTGCAAGAAAAATACTTAAGCAGTCCAATAACAGATTGAAGTCAAACAATCAAGAGCTTTTACAACATATGTATTTTCGATGTTTCACTTATACAAATGTGATATTTTAAAGTTCAATCGCGAGATTAACCGATAATTGTTGCTGAAATCCTAGATTTATCTCATATTTGATTAGTTAACAAAAACTCTACTATTGTAGCATACGCGAATCAGTATTGAATAGTCATAACACTTTATTAGTACGGAAAATTAGTCAATCACTAATGAAATTATCTAGAAAAAGCAAAAGTTCATTGTTTATTGAAATTTTGTTTCAAGCCATTGACGAATATTGCCGAGTGCATTGCTTGCTTCGCAAAAATAAGAAAAAAAAAGCGGATAAACATGCATCAAATGTTCTCCAACTTCGAGGGTTACATCAACTCCGTCTTGTTGTGCTTTGTTAGCCACTCGTCTTGAATCGTCCTCCAATACTTCTGCCGTTCCTACTGTAATATATAGTGGAGGAAAATCTTTGAATGAACCGTAGAGTGGACTATGTAAGGGGTCATCTCGGGCTATTTGAGCATGATTTGGACCTAAGGCCTGTTGAATCAGCCAAGGAAGATCTTCGGGACGAACCATTACATCCATTAGACTATTCCGTGTTAAACTCTCACCGGATGATGCCAAATCAGTCCATGGAGATAGAGTAATCACTGCACGAGGTTTCGGTAACTGATGAGCAAGAATTGCTTGGACAGTAAGTAAAGTAAGACCTCCACCAGCTGAATCGCCCATAATAACCAAACGAGATGAAGAAATACCATCGCGAAGAAGTGAACGATAGAGCGTGAGTGCATCATGGACAGCTGCGGGCAATGGATCTTCAGGTATACGACGATATTCCAAATGGATAACAGTCATATTGAAAAGACGAGATAAATGACATTCGAATCCACTGTAACCTATAAAAGAGAACAAGAATCGATTATAATCTGTATGACGATTTCAAAATATTATTCTCTTCAAAAGAAGTAGTTTATTAACAATCTTCATTCAAATGAACAATTAAAAACTACTATTTTTTCAACGAAAGAGAAAACATTCCGATCGAGATCTAGAGTACCGTAAACGAATAAAAAGACGTAATGATAAATTGGAAAGTCAATATTATTTTACCCAAGTTTCGTAAATAATCATTAGAACTTACTTTGAAAATCACCTAATAAATAACCTCCACCATGAAAATAAAGTAAAATTCGATTCGATTCCCAATTTTTTTCTTGATTAAGATTGTTTATCCAATAGGCATCAGCTGTTTGACCTTCGTATTCAAATATTTGATTTTTGAATTGACATTGGGAAGGACGAGGAATAATTGCACCGAAAGGGAATTTTGTACGCATTTCCTTGGCTCTTTCAAATGGATCCATCATTGGATCATACTCGACTCGAACTATGCTTTGGAGTATAGTATCGAAGGCACGATATTCTGCACTTAAGTTCGGTCGTTTTGGATCTGACACAAACATATGTTTGACTGATATCAAAGAGTGTATCAAACGAAGTCGAAGATATCCAGAATCGGTCGAACCATAATAGAAAGGAATACCTATCGCTAGAATAAGAATAATAAGAGCCAGCTTTTTAATAATTGAGAAGAAACCATTCCAAGAGGCCATCTTTGAAGCACGCAAACAACAACAATTTTCACCTTGATGTGGACCGTTAGGTAACTTTGAATGACTATAATTTCGAATATTTTTTTATCATATAACTCTGTCTTTCGTTTTTTTTTCTTATTCTGTCTTTCGTCTTGCTATCGTTGCCTATATGACCTATTCGAAAAAATGAAAAATAACTGACATAGTGTTTTTGCTTCTTCTACAGGAGAGAAAAAAATTCATTCGTTCGCGTTGCTCCTAAGTAGTTGCCAATGAGATCAGCTTGCAAGTATGTTGACATCACTGGTAAATGTCAGAAGCTGTAGACTCCCTCTCAAAATACGAAGAATCGAAAATATTTAAATTAATCCGCTGCTTTATACTGATACTAGGTTCTTCGAAACAAAACATGCGAGTATAGCATTATTGTTAGATTAGGGAACAAGCATTACGTAATTCTATTTGTGACATCTCTTGATTTATCAAAAAAAAAACTCTTAATACTATATCGTCCAAGATTTTCGCATTGAAATATTTTTCATAATTCTTAGCATTTGCAACACAGTCTCTGGTTCGTTTCCCAAATTTGACTAGTGATGTTAATCGCGGCAGGACATCTATCATTTAAAGTAGGATGCAATCCATGTCGCATCTTCTTTTAACAACTGTGGCGCATTGATCGTAACCAAGCTTTTGTCAGAAACTACGGCTACTGTGTCGCAGTTTCAAATTGTATGATTTAGTCTATTCAATGCCAATCAATTACAAGTCGTTATTAAATAATCATAATTGGTCAAGCCTTAGCGCAAGAATTTAGTTACAGAGGTAGAATATAAAAGAAAGACTACATGAACTATTGTTCACAACTCATTTTACGACAACAAATACAATATATACTCTGCATGCACTTTTCGTTAATCGAAATCAAGCCTAGGGGGTTATCAATCGTGCTAAATTCGAATCTACGATTAGATTCCTGTAATAATCAACAGTTTTATATTTTAAAAATGTTTTGCGATTTTTTTAAAACTTTTTTATAACTGAGTTTTTTTTAAATTCGGAAAAGATTTTTTAAACTCTTATATTTTTTAAGCATGTTTAATTAATTTTTAAAAGTTTTTTAGAGTTTTTGTTACTTTTGTTTTGAGTTTTTATTTTATATTCCAATTAAAATCTTTTCTAAACGATTTTTTACAATTTGTGTTATTTTTGGGATTGTTTTTCTATCTTCTTATTTTTGCAATATGTTTTAGATAAAAAAAAAATTTATATTTTTTACCATTGTCTAATTGTTTTTGTTCATTGTTGTAATTTCTGTGTATTTTTCCGATTTTTTTAATATTTTTCTTAATGTTTTTGGTTTTTTCTAAAATTGTTTTCGATAATTTTTAATGTAAAATTAAGAAAATTATTTTTGACTGATAATAAAAATATTTAAAAACTCTAAATGTCATTTATACTGTCCCCCTTCTAGCAAATGCGATGCAGTTTGGCCGTAATTGAACACCTGGGAAAATTTTCAAGCACTTTTTACTTCTATGCTTACTCTTATAATAGAGAAAATAAGAGATTGTCTGTGAGTTGTATGTGCACCTTCGGCTGTGATCTACAGTGGCCAGTAATTCTTGATTAAGTTTCTTGTTGACTGCGGATAGAAGTGAAAATGCAATTTTTCGCAAGCAGGCATAGATTACCACGCATTTCGTATTTTATCAATGTTGTCATTATCTGATAACAGGCAAAAATACATAAAATACTTACCCATTGTTCGATTACGGTCAAACTGCGGCGTAGTGACGCCGTAAATGCGTCGTAATTGCTAAAAAACATGACATAGATGATCCTTTGATTTTATTTTTATTATGAATTACAAGCTTTTTAAACAGAAAGCGATAAAAACTTAGAAAAACTAAAAAATCAAGAATCTAGGAAAAATAATGATTTTATAAAAAAATTATAAAACAAGAATTCAAAAAAAAATTATGTATAAAAATTTTAAGAGTTAGGAAGTTAAAAAGTAAAAAATAAAAAATTAGCATCTAGATCTAGAAAAATAAAACACTGAAAAAATTTTGAAAAACTGAGAAAATAAAAAAATTAGTAAGGACAAGAGTTTCAAAAAAATAAAATAATGTATTTCTGAAAAAGATTCTACCTCTTGTAGTAGAACAAATTATGAGCCGAATACTCGTGGAAACTGCTTTTTATACAGTCCCTGTGCGGCCAAATTTTAGCGTTAGAGTGTGACCAATTACAAATAAGAAGAGTGTGGGTGTGATTGTGGATGTTGGTCTTTGCATTATTCACACTGAAACCCACACAATTAAGAAATGAGGTAAAAAACGTTTTCTTGATTATTTTGTGCATATTCTCATTTTATATTATTTTATTTCGATCAGAGTTATTAAGTTGTGTATATATGCCGAATGTCTCAAAAGTCCCTTCCTAAAAATTTTTTCGTTTCATTTCACTATTGACTGGATTTCATTGAGTAAGCTTTTTACGAATAATAGAAAAACACACAGAGCTTTAATTCCTAAAGATGGAGTTCAAGATCACTGTTGAAAGCTAAGATCTTTACCCAAAATAAAAAACTTTAGCCTATTTTCTTTTTCTAGAGAAACATTACATGTTATTCGGGTAATCTCATTGGAAGTCAACCAGAAAAAAACACAGAATATTCAGAATTTTTCTTTCATATCAAACTTTGAAGAGCTTTTTATGCTGATCATTTTCATAAAAAGACTTTTCTAATTTCATTGAATAATGACAATCTTATGGTCAAAATACTAAACACTGTAAAACAGCTCAAAATACGTTTTGTATAGTGTTTAATATTTTGATTATAACATCGTCATTATTCAATGAAATTCAAAGTCTTATTACGAAGATGGTCAGTGTAAAAAGCTCTAGAAAGTTTGATATGAAAGAAAAATTCCAAATACTCTGTGCTTTTCTAGTTGACTTTGCATGAAACTACCCATTTATTTTTTAATTACTTCGAGTTGTCGAGTGATTCAGATTTTTAAATTGCCCAATGTTTGAACGGTCTTTTTACAGAATTTTGTTTTTGTACGTCTTTACAAAAACGAAATGCGCGCGTAGTACGGAATCAAAACTCATGCGATTACAATATACATGATCCATGAGCATTTCTGAATAGAGAAAACAGGCTAAAATTTTCTATTTTGACTGAAGGTCTTAGCTTTTAACAATGCTTTTGAATTTTATCTGTGAAAATAAAAACTCTGTGCATTTTTCTATTATCCATTAAAAATTGACTCAATGAGATCCGGTTAATAGTGAAATGAAACGAAAAAACTTTTAGGAAGGGACTTTTGGGATACTCGATATTTATAGTGGTATTTTACCTTATTTATTTTAAGCCTAAGAAAATAATATTTTTCTTTATAACTTCTTTGGTGTATGCAATATCGTTTGTCTGACATGTTTTTTATTGTCTTGCTGGTCAATAAATGTGTACACATGGTCATTGATTCGATAGAAATGTTCACGAACTGGTGAATAGGGAAATAGATCGTGCTTTAATATCCTTCTTTTATTTTAAAAATTATGCGCGCAGTTTAGAAATGAATCGATATTAATTTTTAATTATGTGACAGAAATGTAGACGAGTCTTTGGCTGAAAATTAAGACATCTCACTAAGTTGAGCAATGGCCAGTTGAAATTACACGAAAGATATTCGAGCTCTAAAACAAGTGTAAGTATCAAATGAATATGATATCCATCACTGAAACCTTCATTAGATCTAGAGTTCCTATTTCATGAAAATAAGAAACCCTCATTTGGTAGTAAATTGTTTACTTTATAATTCTTTCAATGTAATTGAAAATACATCATCATGCGTTTATGAACTGTACATAAGTTTTTAAGATGACGTTACTTGACAGAGCTGTATCGATACATGTCTCATAGAATTTATTTTTCGGCTCCTTCATATCCCGATAGTTTTAAGAACCAATTTATCATAATAAGGGAGATTTATTATATCTATATTAAGATTCTCAAAATGTTGATGACCGATGAACTTGTGCATGAATAAAACAGTGTAATAAACGCATCATTCAGGTTACCTGATAAAAACGACTTAGAAAAGCAAAGAAGTCAATTTTTGCTCCTCAATAACTATCATAACTCGTATCTGAGCTCTCAAACAGTTTGAAAACTCAAAATTATTCAATCTTTTGCTTTTTCGTGCTTGTAAGTGAATCTAATCATGGCTACAAGACAAGGATAGTTGATCGCAACAAAAACCTAGCTTCAAACTTTTGGCTTACGAAAAAAATTAGAAGCCTAGTAGATTTTTATTTTATGTGGGTGTGGGTATGGGTGTGGATGTGGGTGTGGGTTATCTGTTCACGCACACACCCGCATATCCACACCCACGCCCTATTTTTTAGAACAATAATTTTTTTTTCAAAAATGGACCTGTGGTCTCCCTCAGTACGTTTTTTTAAATGCTCTCCTAGTCCCCTCCAGGTCCATTTTTGAAAAACAAATTACTTTTCTAAAAGATATCCATTTCGATGTAGCATTCTGCGCTGTTTCTGAATATGCTATTTATTTTGTTCTCATACGGAGCGATATTACCAGAAATAGCTAAATATGCACACAATTTTTGCTGCTTTGTCCCATAGTTCACCATAAGCGGCCCCTGTGAGATGCTCGTGACTATTTTTTTACCTTTTGGAAAAGCATTGAAAGATGCAGAAGTTCACGCGTTATCAGAATATATAACGTTCATTAGGTAAATTTAGTGCTATAGTTGAAATATTTTGGAAAAACACGAATAAAAAAGAGCGATTGTAACAATAAGGGTTTCTTTCATGTGCTGGGAATGCCATTA